GGGGAGCCTGCTTCTCCCTCTGACCCTCCCCCCTCTCATGTACTCTCTCTCATTCTCACTCTCTCAAATAAATAAATAAAATCTTTAAAAAAAAAAATCCTTTCATTGAACATTATATCAAAAACTAATGATGTACTATATGTTGGCTAATTTAATTTAAATTTAAAAAAAATAATAATAATCCTTTCACAAAGTAAAAACCAGAAAAAAAAAAATCAGAAAAATCAAATGACTTATCTAAGACCACAAAGTTTGTGAGAGACAAAGCTGGAAGTCAAAGTGCCATACAGGAAGTATATGAAGTGTCTAACACAATGTCTGTCAAGTGTAACTTTAAAGCTCCCCTATGACTATAAAACCCACGTTCCTTCCACTACTACACCTATATTGCCCCTTCAAAACAATCAGAAAACATTTGGGGCACCTGGGTGGCTCAGTCATTAAACATCTGCCTTCAGCCCAGGTCATGATCCCGGAGTCCTGGGATCGAGCCCCGCATCGGGCTTCCTGCTCCGTGGGAAGCCTGCTTCTCCCTCTCCCACTCCCTCTGCTTGTGTTCCCTCTCTCGCTGTGTCTCTTTCTGTCAAATAAATAAAATCTTAAAAAAAAAAATTAGAAAACATTTGTCAACGCAAATAATAGCAAGGAGACCTCAGAACTTTCTAACATTCTGACTCCTGCTGGAAATTTTCAAATGCCTTAGAAACAGCAGAGTTTTCTCACGTGGCCATCTTTTAATATGTAGCAGATTTCATTTCAGGTGCAATAGAAGCTGACAGGCTGAAAACTGTAGCAATAGCCTAATTACGTTTTCAGCAATAAAGTGTCCAGGGGAGCACTGGAGAGGAAAGAACTGTCATGACTGAAAATATTATCTGCAAAAATTAATACACTCAATAAAATCTTTTATACAGAAACCCTTCAATTCTTGGTTTCCCATGGTGGGCTATTTCCAAACCTGAACTATATATGATTATCTTCAAATTTTGTAAAAAAGATACTGTACTCCTGGCAGGAGCATGGGGAAAAAAGGAATCAAGTACTTACCAAAAAAAGAAGAAAGTTATTCAATCATGCTCTTTTAAAACGAAAAAGCTCAACATTTCCTTTAGGCAGGTGCAATGTCTAAAGGCATTTTCTAAAGATAAACCAGACAAACCTATCATAGCAAATAGATAAAGTGGCAAAGTTGGAGGACAGGAGGTCCAGTTAAATGTCACTATTAACCAAGCTATACAGTAAATTAGATAAAGTTAAGTTAGGATATAATGTGCAAAGTAGCAATTCAAATGAAGTAAAAGTAAGTCTAAATTATGAAATGTCTAAACCAGTTAACTTTTAAAGAAACTAATTTATTTTAAAATGCATATAATAACTCAAATGATTAAAAAAAGTGTCACCTAATGACACTCAGTGTCATTAGTCAGTTAAGCATCTGACTCTTGATTTCGGCTCAGGTCATGATCTCTGGATCTTAAGAGTGAGCACCACATGGGGCTCTGCGCTGGGCATGGAGCCTGCCTGAGATTCTCTCTCCCTCTCTCCCTGCCCCTTCCTCCCCCACCCTCCCCACCCCCACACTCTCTCTCTCTCTCAAAAAAACAGTGTCACCTAATAAGAGTCCAAACTAGGGCCTTATGGGATCCACATAATGACTTATAAGTATGACTTATCATCAGTATGTCATTCCATAAATTAAAAACATGCCTCCTATTGAAAGGGTTGTTCAGTTTTGATATAGTCTCACTATATTTTTAGTTTATTTAACATAGCTTTCTTCATAGATATTGCAAAAGTAAACCCAAGCCCAAATTAACAAGTGCTGACTATTACAAAGAAAGCCATTTAATTTCTCTCTGGCTCATTTTCTTCACCATGATGAAGCCACAGGTAAGATAAAGTCTACACGGGAATCTATATTGTTTGGAAACTGGTGCTAGCTAAATTAGGAAAATAGTCTTAAAGATAATAGGAGTGGCCTAAAACATGCCCAAATTGGTGACATTCATTTTAACTTACTGCTATAGGATTTACTCACTACTGATCCACTATTATTTTTTTTAAAGATTTTATTTATTTGAGAGAGAAAGAGAGAAAGAACATAAGCAGGGAGAAGCAGGCCCCCCAACGAACAGGGAGCCTGATGCAGGGCTCAATCCCAGGACTCTGGGATCAAGACCTGAGCCAAAGGCAGATGCTTACCCGACTGAGCCACCCAGGCACCCCTGATTCACTATTATTTAACTGCATATTTCAATGCTGAAGATCAGAATGAGTTAGAATGGTAAATATTATCTGACCTCTTTTTATTTTTTTTCTAAGATTTTATTTATTCATTAGAGAGACAGAGAGGAAGAGAGAGAGAGCACAAATCAGGAGGGGCAGAGGGAAAGAATCTCTTTTTTTTAAGATTATTTATTTATTTGACAGAGAGAGAGACACAAAAGAGAGAGGGAACACAAGCAGGGGGAGTGGGAGAGAGAGAAGCAGGCTTCCCGCTGAGCTGGGAGTCCAATGTGGGACTCGATCCCAGGACCCTGGGATCATGACCTGAACCGAAGGCAGATGCCTAACAACTGAGCCACCCAGGTGCCCCGAGGGAGAGAATCTTAAGCAGACTCCCCTCTGAGCGCAGAGTCCACCACCAGGCTCAATCTCACCACCCTGAGATCATGACCGGAGCCAAAAACAAGAGTTGGATGTTTGAGCCACCCAGGCGCCTCTGTCTGACCCCCTTTTAAATTAGGGATAAAACTAATTTTTAAGATGTTTGCAGTTAGCAGACTGGCAAGTACAAGGTCACACTGTACATAATGGCAGCATAAGAACTATGTGGCTAGGTGTGCACACTATTCCATTATTAAGCTATGTATTTAATGAAGGGCATTAATATTTTAATCATAACAGGTATAAATGATGCACCAATGTCAATTTACCAAGTACTAGTTGAAGTCAGAAAACATTAAAGTGTTTTCTAAAAGTCGTAATTTGTTCCCAAAAGGATTACTCACTCAAACAAAATCTGTAATCTACTGTTAACTACCTGAATTTTGCCGCTTGGGATATATCCTGAAGTGCATTTAGTTTAATATACAAAAAGACTAGTACTATAAAATATAAAATTTTGCTTTTAGATTCTGGACCTGACAAATGTTATGATTTCTTTCCCAATTAATACCTAAGTTCAAAGAACTCAAGTAAGAAGAAAGTTCATTAATAATAGGAAATATTTTATTTATATTTGTACAAATATGCAATTTTTCCTAAATTTTGGTTAATTATAAAATGGAGTCAATACTTAATAGCACAGATTCTGTCACAAATCTATTAAGTTCTGATGGCAAAATAAAATATGAAAGAAAGTTATTTGTTTAAACTATTAGCATCTCTTTTCCCCCTTATTCCCCAATGAGGTGGGAGCTCTTTAAATCAATAAATTAACTCCCCTAAATAGAAAAAAAGAAAACATAAAACTGTACTAACTCAGACCAATACTTACCAATTGAATCCTAATGAAAGGCAAGCTGTCAAATTCATATAAAAACTAAGCAAATGACATTACTGAGATGATATACATTATCCAGTAGCCTTAAATCCCAAAGACCTTTAAAAGATGTTTTCTGAACTGAATGATTTATAATTAACACCACTGAATATATTAATAATAGTTATTAATAATTAATTCTAAGCACCACAATTTATTTTCTTAAGGATCCAAATGTTTCCATCTTGTTTATGCTATCATTACTTGTTTAAGCTTTTTAACAGATACCTATGTATTCCACAGCAAATTCACATTAAGCTGGAAATTAGTCTTGTATCTCAGACTAGAGCACAAGCAGTTTGGAGAGGGTAAAAGAATTCCAAGCAGCTGAGGGGCGCCTGGGTGGCTCAGTTGGTTAAGCGGCTGCCTTCGGCTCAGGTCATGATCTCAGGGTCCTGGGATTGAGCCCCGCATCGGGCTCCCTGCTCAGCGGAAAGCCTGCTTCTCCCTTTCCCTCTGCCTGACACTCTGCCTACTTGTGCTCTCTAACTCTCTGTCAAATAAATAAATAAATAAATCTCTTTAAAAAGCCAGTAGGCCCAAAGGAGTAATTAAAAAAAAAAGAACTGGGGCGCCTGGGTGGCTCAGTTGGTTAAGCGACTGCCTTCGGCTCAGGTCATGATCTCAGGGTCCTGGGATTGAGCCCCGCATCGGGCTCCCTGCTCAGCGGAAAGCCTGCTTCTCCCTTTCCCTCTGCCTGACACTCTGCCTACTTGTGCTCTCTAACTCTCTGTCAAATAAATAAATAAATAAATCTCTTTAAAAAGCCAGTAGGCCCAAAGGAGTAATTAAAAAAAAAAGAACTGGGGCGCCTGGGTGGCTCAGTTGGTTAAGCAACTGCCTTCGGCTCAGGTCATGATCCTGGAGTCCTGGGATCGAGTCCCACATCAGGCTCCCTGCTCGGCGGGGAGTCTTCTTCTCCCTCTGACCCTCCCCTCCTCATGCTCTCTCTCTCATTCTCTCACTCTCTCAAATAAATAAATAAAGTAATTAAAAAAAAAAGAACAGGGGCGCCTGGGTGGCTCAGTTGGTTAAGCGACTGCCTTCGGCTCAGGTCATGATCCTGGAGTCCCGGGATCGAGTCCCGCATCGGGCTCCCTGCTCAGCAGGGAGTCTGCTTCTCCCTCTCCCGCTCCCCCCCTCTCGTGCGCTCTCTCTCTCTCTCAAATAAATAAATAAAATCTTTAAAAAAAAAAAAATCTGGCACATGGATACTTCAAAAAAAAAAAAAAAAAAAACCCACAAATTAAAAAAAAAAAAAGCTGTCAGTGTGTCTCAAGCTATTAGCTTAGTTTTTGAGTTAAGGTCCCCAAACAGAAGGTTAAGTCAAGGCAAACAAATATGTAAAACAAAGACAATCTTTTAAAACTACCAAGAAGATAAATCTAGAACATCCTCTGTAACAGTCTAATGATCACACAAATTGTGGAATACTTTTTCCCTTTCTTCACATGGAACAATAAATCAATGCTAGCCACATAAAAGTAACAGCGCTTTATCAAAATTAAGAGATAATTTCTTTTTTTAAAAAAAGATTTTATTTATTTTAGAGAGAGGGCATGCGCTCAAGGGGGAGAAGCAGAGGGGAAGGGGTAGAGGAGGAGGGAGAAAGAATCTGAAGCAGACTCTGCACCGAGCTCAGAGCCCAATGCAGGACTCAATCCCACAACCATGAGATCATGACCTGAGCCGAAACCAAGAGCTGGACTCTCAACCAACTGAGCCACCCAGGTGCCCCAAGAGATTATTTCTACCCACAAACTTACTGCTGGTCTCCGAGGTTCTCCAGGCAATTGTGGAGGATAAACAATTTTATTCTTCTTTTCCCATCTTCGAGAAATGTCCAGAGACCCACTTGTGTGGATATGTGATTGGGGTAAAACATTATGAGATGAAAGAAGCCTGTAAAACAAAAGACACTTAGAATCTTTTCCAGAGCTTACGAATCTCCTGAATCACATCAGCTCCATTGTGATCAAAACTCTTTAAGGATCACAAGTGGAAACAGTCTAGATGTTAATTAACAGAGAACAATTTTACATAAAATACCATAGAGAGCTAGTTCACTGAAAGCTAGGAGTAAAACGTTGATAACCAGCGTTAAGTCAAATAATAAACAGATATTACCTCAAGATCTCTTGCTCTGACTGACCAAAAAAAGTATTGACTCTTTAATATAAGCCAGCTCAGTCCTAAAACAGAGTTAAAGAAGATATAATGGATCCCTGACCTAACCTGTGGAATTCCTCAATTTTGTGGAGTAGGCAGGACAAATCACAATATTTTGTAATCCTTAAGAAATTAAAAGATAAAGCTGGCATTACATGCCTCCTGAGGAAAGAAATCACTACCCACCATCCATGAAGTAGTCTTTCTGCAAAAAACAAACCTGAATTAATGGAGCTTCTAGATTCAATACAGGAAATAGACAGGAGAACATGTTAAACAATATGAGGGGGATGCACTCAGCAAAATCCAAGCTGTACAAATTCTACAACACAAACAGGCCACTTTCTTCAACAAATAAATTACAAGGGGAAAAAGAAAGAGCTGAGGGGCGCCTGGGTGGCTCAGTTGGTTAAGCGACTGCCTTCGGCTCAGGTCATGATCCTGGAGTCCCAGGATCGAGTCCCGCATCGGGCT